TAAATAGTCGAAAATAGCAGCTTCTAGCTGGATGCCATGTTTGCTACCTAAGATGGCCGATAAATGTCGAAAATACAGCTTTCAGCTGGACTCGATGACCGCGTCGGAGTTCCAAATTACTTCCTATTTCTTAAATTTTGTTGTTTTTTTCTAACTTTTTTATGCGTTGGTGGAACGTAGAAGTGTAGAAGGAAGATTACGAGTGCCTAATTAATTTAGATTAACGATATTTGTATAATGCTGAGCTTTAATTATCTCGAGCGTAGTTTACTTTGTATGTCATCAGTAGCGAACTCGTATCTTCATAATCCGCGTGCGACACGAGATTAAAAGTCGAGCGCGAGATAAATTGATTTTAATTTCCTAGAAAGACAACTTTTAGATCAAAAAGCACACAGGTTTCAAAGTGTCGTAGTTTTGTGCTGGATTTCCCTCTGAGCTGTTTATTTCACAAACATTAATACTGTAAGCATAAAAAAACTTGAAGTATGGATTAGCTTCTATTGGCAAGTGGAAAATAGACAGAACCACGTTATTGGAACAACCTCTGAATTTTAAAACCTCTAGTAAAGAGAATAATTAGTTCAGCACAGAACAACGTGTTGCTTTGTTTGGGAAACTGGCTTAAAGATACACAAGGTAGCCGTCCCTAGGTTTGGAGTGATGAACTTAAGTGAAATGATGTGTTTACTGTGTACCCACTCTCATGTGATGTGTACCAGGAGTGTTGACTGGGTACCCATTCTCACGTGATGTGTACCAGGAGTGTTGACTGGGAACCCATTCCCACGTGATGTGTAGCATGAGTGTTGACTGGGTACCCACTCTCATGTGATGTGTACCAGAAGTGTTGACTGGGAACCCATTCCCACGTGATGTGTACCAGAAGTATTGACTGGGAACCCATTCCCACGTGATGTGTACCAGTAGTGTTGACTGGGTACCCACTCTCATGTGATGTGTACCAGAAGGGTTGACTGGGTACCCATTCCCGCGTGATGTGTACCAGAAGTGTTGATTGGGTACCCATTCTCATGTGATGTGTAGCAGGAGTGTTGACTGGGTACCCATTCCCACGTGATGTGTACCAGGAGTGTTGACTGGGTACCCACTCTCATGTGATGTGTACCAGGAGTGTTGACTGGGTACCCATTCCCACGAGATGCGTACCAGGAGTGTTGACTGGGTACCCACTCTCACGTGATGTGTACCAGGAGTGTTGACTGGGTACCCACTCTCACGTGATGTGTACCAGGAGTGTTGACTGGGTACCCACTCTCACGTGATGTGTACCAGGAGTGTTGACTGGGTACCCACTCTCACGTGATGTGTAGCAAAAGTGTTGACTGGGTACCCATTCCCACGTGATGCGTACCAGGAGTGTTGACTGGGTACCCATTCCCACGTGATGTGTACCAGAAGTGTTGACTGGGTACCCATTCCCACGTGATGCGTACCA